ACGCAGCGTTCCTACGGGAAAGTAACGGTAATCTAATTACCGTTTTTGCAATAGTAATCCCTTACTTTACTCGTTACTTGAAAAAAGTAATCAGATTACAGTAACGCGTTACAAGTAACGCGTTACTGCCCATCTCTGTTGGGCACAAATATCTCTGAAATTTCTGCCATTAAAGTTTATATCACGGAACATAACAGAAGACTGGATTTCTAGACAAAATACTAGTCATGCAACGTCAAAGTAAAAAAAAAAACTCCTTCAGACATACCATCTATATAAACTTTCTGAGGAGTACAAACAAAATATTTATACATTTCTTATTGTAATTCTAAATGCTCGTCATATTTTCTGGCATGTTCATTTTTTCTTTGAATAAAAACCACCATGACCCGAAACACACCTGTATTAATGACGGTCATGGCAGCCTCACTCACCTCCATTTGTAAGAGTCCACAGAAAAGCCAGAACAACACACTTGATCCCGATTATCCTGCTCAGTTCCATATTCCTGCTGCTGAATCAAACTTCATAACAGAAGAAAAAAGAAGTCTCTCTTTGAACATGTAGTTTTGGCGTTCTAGATTTCTGCCTCCACGCCCTCAGAATGAACTGTTTCTCTTTAGCCTGCCATATTGTTTCCTGGTATGTTTAGATCCATTCATAATAACTACCATGATAATGGTTAGTTATAATGGTTAGAATAAGGTATTATGCATATGCACGCATAAGATAACACCTCACTCAACTCCTTTTATCCACCGACAGTTCAGCATGGTCAAAAACACGACGGACTTGATCCCAGTCATTAGCTCGTTCAGTTCTAGTTGCCTCCCAGTTACTTCATCAGTGTTTGAAAAAAGAACCAACATGTTACTGGCTCAGAACAAAACTCATCGAGCTTGTTTGTTTGCTTGTGACGCTCTCAAGTGCCTTCAAACTATGACTCAGGGAAGTGTTTGAAATAGCTAGGTGTGGTAAGAAGAAAAGAATGACTTGTCAATCATCAACTTTTCACAAGAACAGTCATTCGCTGAAATGCTACCAAACCTTTTACTGCGTCTTTCTTTATTTTAGCCGCTCTCACAATCCAGGATTCAAGTGAAACTGTCCTCCCCTCACACATACGCACACGCTAAACACTAAAAACAATGATTTCATTTATACAAAAAAAGGTAGGACTCCCGAGTGCCTGTGATTACTGATCCAGCACAGGTTACTTTGTAGGTAAACCTTTTCAGTGCATTCAAATCACGAGTGCAGATCACATTATGTTAATCAATAAAAATCATTTTCATAAAACAGCATGAGCAACAGTGCAAGAGAATCATGTCATGCTTTTTGTAGTTATTTAGCAAATCGATTCATAACTGCACACCAAAATCACGTATAATATTCAATCACCAGCCACTCTGTTAAGTACACCTATTCAACTGCTCATGAATGCAAATATCTTATCAGCCAATCATATGGCAGCAAATCAATGCATTTAGGCACATAGACATCGCCATCACAACCTGCTAAAGTTCAAACTGAGAATCAGAATTGGGAGGAAAGAGGTGATTTAGGTGACTGAATGTGCAGAAAAATAACATTTACTTATTGCTAAAATACAAAATTCATATATTTATTCTTTCATTTTATTACACAAGTTTAAGAGTGCTTGAGGTTTGCATGTGAGCTAAACTGCTGGGTGTTGTAGCAAACTTTCAACCAGAAGATGTCACTAAAAATATACAACATCTATTAAAAGACAGTTTAAAGTTTAGCTGCTCAGGATCAAATTTAAAATTTCTGCTGCTTTAGTTAAACTTAACTGTGACAAAGACATCATTTTATTTTATTTAATACACATTACAAATAATCTACATCTCTTGTTTTTGTTGTGCTGACTACTTTTTTCCATAGGAAAGACTCGGTCACATGATAATTTTTAAACAGTGAGATGATGCTGCAGATTCAGTTAATTTCAGTGAATTAAATTACTGAGGTGAAATAAATCTCTGCAGTTTTTTCCAGTGATACTGACAAACCAAACAGTTCATGACAAAATAAATTACACATATCTCTAAATCTATCTTCTTCATACTATTTTTTCATGAGCACTATTTGTTCATAATACAAGACTCCACAGAAAAGTCAGAAAAATGCATTTGATCTCAGTCATTATGCTGCTGCTGCACCAGTGTTAAAAAAGGATCAAGTTAAATCTACTAATGTTTTTCTTTTTTACTTTTTAAAAATAATTTCTTTTGTCAGACTTCATAACTCCCCAAATTTCCCCCCGTAATTGTATTATTTTTTGTAAAATTTGTACTACTAAATAAAACAAAACAAAAACTAAATAATTTAATCAATTAAAGACTGTGCAATCTAGACAGCTACTTTAATGTAGCTTATATAATTATATAATTTAATTCCTCAGATGTAACCACAGACAAATTGTAATCTTGTTGTTATTTCATCATTTTAACAGTCAGTAAATAAGGATGAAATGAGGCCAAACCTGACTACAGGCTCGCTTGTGGTCACTGGACAGTTGTAAACAAATCCCTGCAGCTCAGTGGTTCCTCTCCAGTATCACATTTTGTCTTATCTACAGATGACATAAACTAAATCATGAAAACACAACATACTGATATTTACTGAAGCTTTTCACTAGAAAACGACAGAAAGACAACAAAACTTCTTTAAGAGGAACACGTTTGTAAGAAATAGTTTAGAACAGTTGATGAAGCGTTTCTGAGTGAATGAGACAGAAAACAGTTGATGTTTCTCTAACAGGAGGAGCTTCTTCACACTAAACAGGACACAGAGACACTGATGCATTAGGATTGAAACCAAATCCAGGATAAATAGGTTCAGTGAATGTGGTGTTAAAGGTGTGGAGGTGAATCAGAGTGTCAGAGGAGACTCTGTAGAAGGACAGAACGCCAGCAGGACAGTCCACGTACACGGCTACTCTGTTAGAGGCAGAAGAGGTGGAGGAGGAGTAGGAGGAAGACATGCTTCTGTTATTGTGCCACACAGAACGAGGGCGACCATCACTGTAGCATTCCAGTCTCCAGGACTGATCGTTCCTTCCAAACACGCAGTCTTTACTGTCGCCTTTCCTTTCAATTCCTCTGTAACTCACTGATATATCGATCCCTCCACTCCACTCGACCTCCCAGTAACAGCGACCAGTCAGACCATCTGTACACAGCAGCTGATACCAGTAATCAAATCTGTCTGGATGATCAGGATATGACTGAACCTCCTTCACCTGTGTCACCTTCCTGTTCTTGTCGGACAGTTTGAGGAATTTGTTTATTGTGTTTGTGTCAATTGTGAGTTGACAGGAATCTGGTGGAGACAACAAACACAACAATGTTGTCATTTTGATGACATCAGAGATGTGACTGAGTGATGCAACAGTTTGAAAATAGTTAAAACTTACACTTCCTCAGACCGTCTGGTCGCAACCATCGGACTCCAGCCGGCTCCACCCTGAGAGGAGGAGAGGGGTCAGATCGGCGTCTTTCAGCATGCACACACAGTCCAACTTTTTCACAAAGACACTTTAATGGATTTTCAGTTCTTTGAGGCGGCAGTTGGATTGATTTTCATATCAGTAAATCCATAACATCAAACCTTGGTTCAACAAATTTGCTGAGCACTGTATTGATAATATGATAATAAGCGAAG